ATAAATATAATAGTCATAATTGACGTGATGACACGCAATAACAATAGCATCATATACCTGTTTGCTACAAATATTAATAAAACCATAGGTACCTCCAATAATTTTAAGTACCACCTTTATCATACACTGAATTTCTATATGTTGTTGAGTCTTTTTCTGGACTTCACTTGTATTTCATTGTTACTGATAGATGCTCTTCATTTGACTCCATAGCAGTTGCTAACTCCATCCCAGTGTACAACTGACTGACACCATGCCCACCCCAGCACCATCTTCACAGTCTCCACTGAGCTTAACGTCATCATTGTGTCATCACTGTGTGATCACTGTGTCAGTCCTTCTCCTTGATAATCTTCCTCTCCGATGCTAATCTTTTGTCTTTCCAAGCATGATGTCCATTTCCAAGGACTGACCTTACTGACAACATGCTCAGAGTCTGAGTCTCAAAACCCTTGCTTCTAAGGAGCATTCTGACTGCACCTCTTTGAAAACACAGATTTGTGTTCTTACAGAAGACCATGGCATATCTGATACTCTTTACCAGCACCACAACTCAAAGGCATCAGTAAATCTTTGGCCTTCTTTTGGTTTATGGGTTTATATCAGTAAAGAGCTGATATAATTGCAACTAACAGTAACAAGAACCATGGTTTTAATTATAGTGACTTTGTGTAGTATACAGTGGTTTAATATCTGGTATTCTTCCATCATAACTAATTTTCATAGGTATTCTTGCATGTTTAGTTTCTCTTACTAAGGTGAGTGTCAATTTGTGGAGCTACATAAACAGGTATTATTTTGCGGATTAATCGTTCATCTGGATATTTAAGTATCCTAACCAAGAACAAGGAAGGTTCCATGAAGGTTTTGGAATGTTTTGATTAAATTTATTCCTAAGAGTTTTATCATTTCGTGACTGCTGTAAATGGAGTTTATTCATCCATTATTTCCTCCATTTGTGGGTGAGAACTTAGTTATTTCTGCATGTTAATTTTTATATCCTGATAACTTTAGCCCATTCTTGATTGTATGTGTTGGTTTTATCATGAATATTTTCCAGACATAATCTCAGAGCATCAGCAATCAGAACATTTTCCTTCTTCGCAATTCTTCCTGTAATTATTTTCTGTAGTCCAGTTGTGTTGTCTGATTCTCTCAGCTAAGGTAAATAGTAGTGGGATAGTTGTCATCTTGGCTTTATTCTTGACATTAGTAGGATTGCTTTCAGGGCTTTCTTGTTAAGTAAGATCCTGTCTTTAGCACCGAGGTACTTTATTTCATTTTTTAAGCCTATCATTTTTGGGCAGTTTGACTTGAGTAATGAGAGGCAGATATTCTCACTCCCTTGTCCCATAGCCTTTAAACTTTGAAGAGAAGATGAGAACTGAAATCTTCTGTCCCAGGCGGTGGAGTGGGGAGTGGGAGTTCCTTTGCTTTCCTTCACTCCATCAATAGCACCCTCCACATCTGTCTCAAATGTGTATTGTTTTTCTGAGAAGAGTTAACTCACTTTGAAATCGTGGAGATTGTTGTCACTATCACGTATCTATGATCCCATTCTCATTAATCCCCTAGATTAAGGGAAGGGCAGGTTTTTTCTTTTTTCTTTTTTTTTTTTCCAGGTTTTTTTCTAAGAGAGTTTCATTCAGTCTCCTCATCAGTCCTCACTCTCTTAATCCCTTTTCACTGGCCCATACATTTCTGTACCTCCTGGGGATGTGGACCTACATGCCTTTGTGATGATGGTTTCTTCTTTCCTCTTTTTAGGTGCATGGCTGCTTCCAGATTGTGAAGCCGGAGAACGCTGCCCCAGAAGGTTGGGAAAGTGAGCCAGGAATACAGAGGGCAGCCCAGAGCCCTACTCATTTCCCTGCCCTCCCCTGTGGGGGCCAGGATGCTGAAAAAGCAGTCTGCAGGGATTGTGCTGTGGGGCGCTATCCTCTTTGTGGCCTGGAATGCCCTTCTGCTCCTCTTCTTCTGGACACGCCCAGCACCTGGCAGGCCACCCTCAGACAGTGCTCTTGATGATGACCCTGCCAGCCTTACCCGTGAGGTGATTCGCCTGGCCCAGGATGCTGAGGTGGAGTTGGAACGTCAGCGGGGGCTGTTGCAGCAGATCAGAGAGCACCATGCTCAGTGGAGGCAGCGGTTGAGAGTGCCCACTGCGGCCCCTCCTGCCCCACCACGTGTGCCTGTGACCCCGCCGCCAGCAGTGATCCCCATCCTGGTCATTGCCTGTGACCGTAGTACTGTTCGGCGCTGCCTGGACAAGCTGCTGCATTATCGCCCCTCAGCTGAACATTTCCCCATTATTGTAAGCCAGGACTGTGGGCATGAAGAGACTGCCCAGGTCATTGCCTCCTATGGCAGCGCCATCACACACATACGGCAACCTGACCTGAGCAACATTGCTGTGCCACCCGACCACCGCAAGTTCCAGGGCTACTATAAGATTGCGAGGCATTACCGTTGGGCACTGGGCCAGATCTTCCACAATTTCAAATTCTCAGCGGCTGTAGTGGTTGAGGATGATCTGGAGGTTGCACCAGACTTTTTTGAGTACTTCCAGGCTACCTACCCAATGCTGAGGAATGACCCCTCGCTCTGGTGTGTGTCAGCCTGGAATGACAATGGCAAAGAACAGATGGTGGACTCAAGCAAGCCTGAGCTGCTCTACCGTACGGACTTTTTCCCTGGCCTCGGCTGGCTATTGCTGGCCGAACTCTGGGCTGAGTTGGAACCCAAGTGGCCCAAGGCCTTCTGGGACGACTGGATGCGCAGGCCAGAGCAGCGACAGGGGCGGGCCTGTGTGCGGCCTGAAATCTCAAGAACAATGACCTTTGGCCGTAAGGGTGTTAGCCATGGGCAGTTCTTTGATCAGCATCTGAAATTCATTAAATTGAACCAGCACTTTGTGCACTTCACCCAGCTGGACCTGTCCTACCTACAGCGGGAGACTTATGACCGAGATTTCCTTGCACGTGTCTATGGTGCTCCCCAACTACAGGTGGAGAACGTGAGGACCAATGAGAGAAAGGAGCTGGGGGAGGTGCGGGTACAGTACACAGGAAGAGACAGCTTCAAGGCCTTTGCCAAGGCCCTGGGTGTTATGGATGACCTCAAGTCAGGTGTCCCCAGGGCTGGCTACCGGGGCATTGTCAGTTTTCTGTTTCGGGGCCGTCGTGTCCACTTGGCACCCCCACAGACCTGGGAGGGCTATGATCCTAGCTGGAATTAGTCCACCTGCCTGTCTCTTTGGTCCCCTTCTCTTGCTGTATTCGTAGGCAGAGACAGAACTACAGGTCCTGGGCCGTGCCATCCTGTCTGTATGTCTCTTGTCTTGGGTCCATTTATTTTTATTTTTAGAATGGCATTCGAGTGCACGACGATAGAGTGAGGGTTATTCTCCCATCCTCAAGGGGGCTCGGATCAGAGCACTCTTTCTGGGGGTATATTGGGAGGTGATAGGCAAGAAACCACTGTGTGGTAGAGGGAGACTTGGGCTTGCTGGGTCCAGAAACGTCCATGTTGGGACTTTTTGTCTATGGTATCTCCAGAGAGGTTAGTGACCTTAGCTCTCTTAACCAGGCCTCCTCTCTCCTTATCTGACTCTTTCAGAGTTGTCTCATCCCTCCTCCCTTGCCCTGTACCTTTCCCATCTTTCCCTAATGTGGGTGGCACCGCTGGAGTGTGTGAGAAAGAGCTACACATGTGGCCAGATTGAGACAAACCACAGATTTCACCTCTGACAATTGGAGTGGACTTGTCAAGGTTTACTGTCACCTCTTCTTGTTTTCTCCTCTTCTGCTTGGGTGCTTTTCCCATCTCTTTTTATCCCTGTGACCTCTTCTCATCCTTCTTGGCAGCCCAGCAATTAGTGATTCTAAGATAAAAAGCTAAAGGAAGAAAGCAAAATCTTTCATCAGCTCCTCACTAGCTTTGGGATGTAAAGGAGATGGAAGGAAAAAGCCTCAGTTGCGGCAGGATCAACCCTTCTCCTGTCCTCAAAGAGGCAGACTCTAGTCTCCAGCTCCCCCTCCTGTAAACATCAGTGCCTCCTCCTAGAGGAGGGTTTGGTGCTGCCTTGTAGAAAGAGAGAATCAGCTTCTTGGGTACCTTCTTCCCTTGAAATGTGAGGCACGGGCTCCCACCTGAGGGCTGTGGATTTGATGCCTTCCTCAGTGTGGTGTGAGTAGTGAAGACCAGGACTGCTCTAGCCACGCAGCAGCCCTGCCCCAGCCCCTCTCCCTCCATGCTTTCCCACATCCTGACAGGTTAGGATGCACATGGCAGGTCGGGAAGGATATGTGTGCTTTTGTTTCTTGCCTGACCTCAATTTCATGGAAGAAAGTTAAAGCTAAAGAATTATTTTCAAAAATAAAGTAAAGACTGAATTGTCTGAAAAAAAAAATTTGTGTTGTGTGTATATGTCTTGGGGGAAAAAAGATGAAGGCTAGAGGAAGAGAAGAAAGGAAAAAACCATGATTGCAGACTCAGGGAAAGTACTAGAAAGGTCAGTAGAGGAAAAAATGGGGAAAGGAAAACGAACAGAAGAGATGAATGAGAAAGGGAAAAAAGCTATGGCTAGCGAGAGGAATGTGAGAGTGAAAGGTCTGTAAGGTGATGAGGCTGAGGGCATTTGGATCATTAGTCCTCGCAGGTGGGTTCACGGTGCCTTCAGCAGGATGGTCTACTGTAAGTCCACTCTGGACACAGCAAGCCTAGCCTCTAAGATAATTTCTAAACCTGGTCAGTCTTATAAGAGAGGGTGCTTTTGCAGGGTACCTTCTACTCACTAAAGGCAGCATTTATTGAACACCCATGAGCTCCAAAGGTGTACCTGATACCCAATTATGGCAGTGGTATTAGATACTGGACTAAGGTCCTTGTGAAAATGCTTTTTATTACTGCTATCCAGAGTGCACACAGACACAACATAGTAAATGTGAAGGCAGATGGGCAGCTTCTTTTGATAGCTTCCACTTTCCACTAGTTTGTAGTGTATTTTTTCTTTTAATTGCTTGAAATGTCAATTTTATTAGATTTGAAAAGCCTTGGACTGCATGCCTGTTGACAGAAACAACTTGAGAGTTTTATTTCAGATGGTCTCCTCTGCCTGGACTGAGGAGGAGCATGGCTTGGGGAGCCATTTCAGGTGTTCTCATACATTTTTGTGAAGGTCATCTGCCTTCTCTTTTTGCTTAGTATGTGTTTTTGAGAAGAGAGATGATCATTATCCATGATTTACAGATACAGACAGGCTCAGAGAGCAGCCTGAGGCAACAGAGGGCTGTTGAGCCAGGAGTACATGGTCTGCCAGATTCCTACTCTTAGCTCTTTATTTAACAAGAGCCAGGCATTGTTTTGATTGTTCTACAGTTCACTCCATGCCATCCAGTCAGAACTGACTCAGCCGATTTCCATTGAGCTTCTGAGGCTATAATTACACAGAGAAGATTGTCCCTCTTTCTGGTGTATTTGAACCATCAGAGAGGTGTGGCCCTTGGGTTAGCAGCACAGTTTAGCCCTATGGAATATGCCATCAGAGCAAGAGTGCTCTACAATTAACACCAATTTATTTAATCCTCAAAGCAGTCCTGGGCAGGAAGTGAGGATTCACAAAGAGTTCCTGTGCCTAAAGTCACAGAACTGTAGGATGCAGCTGGGATTTGACTCTAGGCTATGTAATCCTTCTTATTAATCACAATGTGATAATGTGACCATAAAACACTGTCCTTTTACTCCCTTTCTTTAAGGTAGGTTCCTCTACTCCAGCCTTATTTATGCCTCTGGGTTCTTCCTCAATCCCTAAGGTATGCATGAGGCCAAGCAGTGGATGAGACCATCTTGGGAGTGATTGCCTGGGCTGGACTGGAGCAGGCTCCCAGGAGAGATTGCTGAGAGCCTTGGGGATCTCTGGGAAGTCAGGGCATTCATCAAAGAGAGAAGCCTGCTGCTGTGATTTTTTTCTGGGAACAAAAAGCATTTTCAAGGTGTTAGAGTGGACTCAATGCTTTGATAGCAAAGGGAAACTTGAACTTTGATCCATTCCCACTTTGTGTATGCTGACTCTTGGCCAGGACAAATCACAGGAAGTTTATGCTGAGAGCATAGGTGAGAGACCTTGTGCTGGTGAGAGACCAGCACAATGTCTTTTGTCCTGGTGCACAGAGACCAGATTTGTGGTTTTTGTAATGAGACTACGACTCAGCTACTTGTGAACAACAGATCAGAGCATTATCCAATCTTAACCCTCTTCACAACTCCAACATGCCCAAGCCTGTTGCTACAGATAACATGGTAGCTGAGGACATCTGGTTTCTGGGACTTGAGTAAGACCTGTCTCTGGGCCTCTGCTCTGCCTGCATTGCATGCCTGACTCCAGACCAGTTGTTATGCCAGAACTTCTCCCTCCGAAGTGGATGCAATATACCTCCTCCTAGGGTAAGAATTTTCACCTCACATACTTTAGGCATGCTGCTAGGAGAGGCTATTCCTTGGAAAGGTACATCATATTTGGAAAGAGAGGGTCAGCAAAAGGAAGACTTAACGAGATGGATAGACACTTTAGGATTAGGTTCAAGTATGTCAAAGATGATGAGGATGGCGCAGTTTAGGACAGGGTTCAGATCTGTTGTTCATAGGGTTATGAGTCATATTCAACAGTACCTAACAACAACTACCGGGGGTAGTTGTGTTGGAGTAACGCACACACTTAATATAGCAATCTTTCCAATGATACTGGAAATCTTTGCAATTTCCTATAGAAGTCTTTTCTGAGAGTTCTCCTTTGGTCCCACCATACCTGTGCTTCCCTCTCATATGAGTCTGGGTGGAGTTGAACAAGACTGAGCCATAGTGAGGCTTGAAACTTGGTTCTTTATGTACTAAATGGATTAGACAGTGTATCAAAATTAGATTGGGGGGCAGAACAAGAGAAAAAAAATGCAATGCTTTATATGAATGTGTATGATATCAATAAATTGACATAGTGGCTTCTGCGATCACCAAGGACCCACATGCCTGCTGATTTTCTGTTTTACTTCCTTAGCATGCGATTGCCAGCCTGGTATGTCCTAACGACTGCTGGAGATTTAGCTATCATGCTTATGTTTTGAGTTGTTGTGTACCATTGAGTTGGAACTGATCCACAGCTGACCCTTCAGCAGGTTTTCAGAGGCAGTTTACTCACAAGGGAGGAGATTGCCCATCTTTCTCTCACAGAGCAGGTGATAGATTCAAATAGCATGCCTTTGGGCTGGCTGCACAATTTCTTACTACCTAAGCCACCAGAGCTCCCTCATGTTTTGAATAATAAACAGAGGAAAGGGCGCAAAGGATTCCAGCTGCCTGTCTTCCCTTTCTGGCACCCTATAGAGTACCTGGTCATAACTCGCCTAACTTGTAATTAAGAGGAGTAATTAATTGTGTGGACAACAATGGCAGTTTCTGCCATGTGCTGGACCTTGAATAATCCTGTGACAATGGCAAGGAAGACTTGGAGTGGGTTGGATGGTAGGGATATTTTGGGGGGGGGGGTGCAAGAGGGACTTTGGTCTCGAAACAGGCAGCATCAAGTGCTCTGTGGCACCTAGACCCAGGGGGTTGTGTAAGAACATTGTGTTCAGGGATGTTTTCCCACTGCCACACGTGACAACCTTAGACATTCCTAATGTCCAAAGCCAGCCCTAGAAATGCTGATTTCTCGGACAGATGCTTTTCTCCTTCTAAATACCTTCAATATGAGTACTTCATTTGTTCTCTGGCCTTCATGGCCTGCAGGTCCCATTTACTATGATGAGTATATAAAATTTCTAGGGAAATTGACCTTCACAGAGCTTGGCATTCTCTCATTGATGACTATGCAACATTTATGATTTTTTTTTTTACTATTTTTTTTTCTTTCTGAGGGAGGCAGAAACGATTTACTTTCTCTTCTCCCAGTCATTGCTATGCAGTATTAAGCCAATTAATCACAGACGGATCTGTGTGTCCCTTTGCAGGAGATGGCACTTTACGTTGAAAACAAAGCATCTGTATCTGATACTGGGACCCAGAAACAGCTAGCAGCTCAGCTAAGTCCTTAAATATCTGATTTAATGGAAAGAAACTTTGAGTCAAATTTAATGGTTGTTTTAAGCCCCTAAAGTATAGGGTAATGTGTCAAGCAACTAGGACATTTGGATTACTAGTTTTTTGTCATTGAAATGCTAAAAGATTCTCTTATCACTAGAAGGG